ATGCTGTGAAGAAGATAACGAAAATAATATCCAAAACTATGGTAATTTTCCTATCGCATATTGCTGATATAAATAAATATAGCTGAAAAACAGTGCATTAGTGGTTTCATGTTCGTGAACTTGAAGGAGAGAATTTGACGTGGCTGGTAAGGGTGTCTTGTTCCTTTGCATGGGGTGTTCCGTACGTCAGGGATGGATTCTATAGTTGCTACTGGTAATTGAAGAATCTTTATAGATATAAATTTATTGATGACGTTGCCCCTGAAGCGCGGTGTATTATTATACGCTAAGTCATTTACAGTGATTTAAATTACATTACAGCTAGTGGGGGGGACAAATCTCAAAGGGGGGACAAATCTCAGCAGCCGTCTGTCCTTCTGTCGCAGGTCACGTGCACCTGACTAATCTAGCGCCTTAGTTGGCCATCGCTTGAGCGAGATCACTTAAGAAGATACAACCACAACCACAACCACAACCCACAATGATCTCTCACATTGCAGATAGTCAATAAAAGGACCACCTCCTATCCTCTCAATTATCTAGTTTTCTATCCATCTATCATCTTCTGTAGCTTATTGATACGCCGCGCACAGCAGTCCTCAGCACTGCCTAGCATCGCTAGCGCCACAGTGCGACACCTATTCTCCTTATCATATGTTCAGTCTCAATTGTCCCCGATGAGACTCGTGCATAGGTGGGCTGCTGAGATTTGTTCCCCCGATTCTGGGATTTGTTCCCCCCGCTAGCTACAGTAGAACTTTGCCAAGACCGACCTCGTTAGAACGATAATCTCGCATTTAGCTAGCTGCATAACGTGTTGTGTTAGATAATAAAATTCCTACGCCGCTACGGAGGGTGTCCGAGCACCAAGGGATAGATGTTATACCGTTTCCAAAGCGCCATTATATTAATCCCTAAATTAGAAGCAATAATTTACAAGTCTCGATCCCAAAACATCACGATCATTCAAGATCATTAGCGACGGCCAAAGTATCAATCGTGCCTTGAGTCTGGTAAATGTTTCCGCCACTTACGGTTACGTCAGGGCTTTCGCTTTCATCTTTCTGGTCATCTGGCACAGCTTTGCACTGCTCTCGATTATCGCCTTGTTTCGCTTCCTTTGCCCTCTCTCTTTCGCCTTCGTCATCCTCTTCGTCATCCTCTTCGTCGTCCTCTTCGTCGTCCTCTTCGTCGTCCTCTTCGTCGTCCTCTTCGTCGTCCTCTTCGTCGTCCTCTTCGTCGTCCTCTTCGTCATCCTCTTCGTCATCCTCTTCGTCATCCTCTTC